GCTTCTCAAACTCATAAACCTTTCCTTAAATAGCTGACATGTGTGTCAAAACAATTCTAGAACTTACAACAATAAGTCTCAAATGTTTAGTCCTTTTGCCATTTCTCACAATTCGAACTTTGAAGAGGGATGTCGTAATCATAATCGAATTTGAGAATGCAAATATCACAATTGCTAACTCTTTAAAATCTACTTAGTGAAAGCATTTCCTCACAATAAACTTCATGAATTAGAGAGAAACCTTGTGAGACCTAGATTTTTATGGTGTATGTGTTCCTATCTATGTGAATCTGTCATTTCCAACCATTATCATAAGACAATAACTATGACAATTTCAAACTCATATGGACTGAACTTGTTTAATCTTAATTTCTTGCCACCTAGCAGCTCAAAGGCCTACCATTTCTTCCAAGTTGTTATGCGAACAATTAAGAACTCATAAAACTCACATGCATAGTCAACTTTAACTGGAATTGACACATAAACAAGAATATGTCAACACGGTAGGTTAAAACCTCAAGTCGTGGGCTAGTGATTAATAATAGCTTTACTCTTAATTAGTTCTTGAAACTTTTCAAGATCTTTAAGACTCCCACTGACTTGTTGACATATAATACTCTCTTGTTAAGAACATTCCTTGACAAACAAATATTCAAGAGTTAGTGTAGTTTCTTATCAAGACAAACATTTCACACAGTTGGTGTTAGTTGGTCTTTGCCTTATCCAAGACATCACAACTTACCAATTTCAAATGTACAAGAGTAAGAAACATTTTACTTTACATTTGATAAGTGTTATAAACCTCTCTTAATATTATGTCACCCAAGTTACAATCTTGGATTATGACTCTAAGACTTGTTTTTGGAACGAAGTATGATTCACCTTTTGATTTAACAATTTCGACAATCCCCGATTCCTCTTCTTAGCCATACAAGTGCACTTTAGAGGATTAATTGTAATATGGTTCCATAATCACTAAGATGATCATAAAACACGATACTAAAGTAATCTCCCTTGTTTTTAGATTGGAGAAACTTTTATATTTTTGCCTAATTGATTCTTCTTATTCATTTTGCTATACATTGAAGCCTTTTCAATGATTCAGAATTACACTTAATCCTGTAAGCATAAACATATTTACTAAGCTTTAGTAAATCATGTCTAATAATCTTATCGTTCTTTGTGGTAGACCTGACCAGTGCACAACCAAATGTGCCCAATCCCTAAGTCCTTTACTTGACTCACATATACATGTGAAAAAAGAATTACTCTTAATTTCGCAAAGACGAAGGTTCTCATTCAACATACAATACAAGTTTCATGTTTCCAAGTTTCTGTCCAATTGAAACTTGGTTATGAGAATCTTTTCTTATTTGGCAAATTTTAGACACTATCACAAATGAAAGAATCAAATCGATATACAAACATCAATTTTCACAAATGTCATTGCAATGATATATAAAAGAAGATAAATTAAAAAAAATATTTATTTATAATATATGCAAAAACTTTTCCTTACAATGCAATTACAAATGAAAACTATGTTAATAAATATTTCTAAGCAATTTATCATAACTCCTAGCATCAACTCAAAAATCCGATCATCGAACCATGCGATCGAAATCCATCTCTTCGCGATCAGACTCAACATGCTTTTCTTTTAAGCTTCCTTTGATCCTAAAAACATCAAAATGCAATTACATTACATCATGTATTAAGAATATCCAAATAGAAACTTAATGGAGTTAGATAGTGGACTTACTTGAAGCAGAGTCAAACATTTTGACTTTACCATCCTTGTGGTCCTTCAGATAGATATGGCAGCTTCGCAACCAATGCCCCTTCTCTTGGCTGTAGAAGAAAAGAGACTCTTATGGAATGGTACACGGGACAATCTCAAACTTAGCCTTTCCCTTTCCCTTGGAAAGTGAAATCTTTTCTGGACTCCCAATGTTTCCATTGTCAATGTCCATGGAAGTTTAGGAAGTAGATCTTTCAATCAAATTTGCATTACCAGTGCACCAAATTATTGCTGATTCAACAACAATTAGCAAATATGTAAGATCGATAAGGTTTGCATTGCAATCTATCACATAGTAGTCCTTAATAAACTCACTATATGACTTAGGAAGTGATCGAAGAACCAAGTCAATAGCTAACTTCCTCGACACAACGACTCCTAACATTCCCAGTCTGTCAATGTGTGACTTCATCTCGAAGACATGTACACACACAAACCTTCCATCTTGATGTTTGCTAGCTAATAAGGCTTGAGTGACCTTGAACTTTTCATGTCTTTGAACTTGTGGGCTAGGGATAATTATTGGAGGAGGTGGAGGAACTGAAACATGATTTCCATTTCCACAATCCAATCATGGGACATCATATTCATAAGTAAAGCTTTTTCCAAAAGATTTGGGAAGACCATAGTTGTCTGACCTAGACATCTATAATGGAAGAAATTCAAGTTAGTTGATTTAAGCCCTTAATATAACACCCAAAAGGAAATATTAAGGCTAGGACCTAACACAATATTTTAAAATTCGGAAGAGGGATTTCGTAATCTAATTATAAAATATTTGAAGATTGGTAAATGACGATTTACCAATTTACACCATGAAAAACGAAAATGAATTTTAGGTTTTAAATGAATTGAAATTCCTAGATTCTTTGAGATTCATTGATCTTTTCAATGGCATGTTTAAATCTCAATTATGCCCTTCAAGTTTGTGACTGGGATGCCGAGGATCACAAACAAGGTGTGAATAACCATGCAAATTAGCTTGGTACTCTCGAAATCATTTATCACCTAATCAATGTGCTGGTTAACCACACACGCTCCATTGGTTTATGAATAATAAGGTTAATGTGTCGGTTAACCACACACGCTCTACTAGCGACTAATAAGGTGCAATTTTCAATTTCATGGGTTAGCATCAAATTCATATTTTTCAAAACGTAACCAAGATTGGGAATTTATAAATGTTTAGTTACTTCATGTTTCATTATACTTTTAATGAGGATTTAAATGTCCTATCAAACCCGTTCGGCTAACGACCCTCCACCAATCAAGGAAGCGGTGGGTGAGAGTGGACACCCATTAAACCACTATTTTATAGGCAGTAACCTTATACCCCCTTATAGACCGGCTTCGTGAATGAGGCCTACTAACGGTAAGACCGCCCTTTTACTTATACATATATAATATATTAAACTTTTAATTTTAAATAGTATAAGGGTGTATTTTAAACATTTAAAATACTAGGTGGTTTAATCTATTAATAAGTTATACTCTTAATTTAATTAATCTTAAACCATGTTATTATGAATTTATTAAACTTCTCTTTTAATTAAACACTTTAATTAATTTAATAAATTCCATAAGATGTAATTGAACTATTCAAAGCATCTAGGTCATTAAAAAATTCAAAATTAAAACTATATAATTAAATTTTAAGTTATGAACCCAAAAGATGCATCTTTTGAAACCTTTCAATTACTAGATGTTTTAGAATTCAATGTTACAAATTAAAACCTTTTAATTAAACTTTTCAAATTTCAAAACTTGATGGTATGTTATGGAATTCATTAAAAAAAAATTAGATCAATTTCAACAAATAAAAATTATCATATAATTCATGTGACAAGATAATATCAAATTAACAATTTACAAGTAATTTTGTTTATAATATAAAGCAAAAATTTTCTTAAAACTTTGACAATTAACTTTTGTTTGGATGGCTATAATCACTACTATATCAGAAAAAATAGATTTTATGATACCAAACAATTTGTTGTAGTGATTCCAATCCAATCCAGGCCAAAAATCCAAAAAATCAGCCCTCTGCCAGTGCAACTCGTTGAGCCAGGATTTGGACTCGTCGAGTTCATCATGAACTCGTCGAGTTTGTTAGTCCCCAAATATGGATCCAATTCAGTAATCAATGAAGCAAATAACAATCAAAATGGAGTGTAGAAGGAGCTGAAGAGAGATAACATCAATCATGCACATATCTATATCATAAATGTTAAGTACAGCTTGAGAAGTACACACACTGCACTATTCAGCATCAAGTACCATCTGACACAAGATAACACCTATAAATAGTACCCTCACCAGCACACGAGTGGGCAGCCATACACGCATGTGCGGCCACACATGCTTTGTGCGGCCGCACACACATGTGTAGCTGCACACACAAGTGAGGCTGCACACATACACCAAGTCTATAACACTGCACTACATTACATACACTGCCACCCTAATAAGATCTATACAAAATTAATGCATAGCTCAAACCACAAGATTATAGACTTTCAATCTCCCCCTTGGTTTGAGGCTAGCATAGACTTGATCTTCATTCAATTGGCTTCTCAAACAGCCTCAGATCTGATCTTCCCATGGAGCCCATCCACATTCTTCCGTTAATGATTGTAGCTACCATAACAGTAAACTCTTTAGCAACCGCCTCCATAACCTCTTTTCTACATATAATATGGTGATGAGACAGAGTGTGGATATCCCTTTCCCTGAACCAAAGAAGAACTTTAGCACTTATCAACCTCAAGACATGTTCTCGATCCTTGAATTTTATAGCAGCAGTGGCAGTTTCGTCGTCATAAGCCCAAAATTCCATTTTATCAAGATATCTCTCATGGAAGTGTTGAGGGATAGGAATTTCCTTCTGTTGTTTAGTCGTAGGCCAAAGTATGATCTCCATAGGCTCGCCTGATTCTGGATCTAGAATTTCTTGGTCTTTTCGGTACAAGGCTCTTGCAGTCTTCATCATTGGAAAGTTTTCCTTGACCTCTTTGTCAAGAAATCTTTTAAAGTTAGAGGCACTGGGATCTTCCGAGGGATTATGGAATAGGGCTCTCGATAGTTCAGCAAGATCCACTTTGGTCCATGAGTTAAAAACATGGGCGCTCTTGTAATACTCAGGATTTCCTGAGTTCCTTTTCACAACCCACAAATTTGTTTCAAGATCAAAGGCCCACATTCAAATTCCCGATCTATCTCCATACCCATCACCAAATTTTCTTTTCTTGAGATCAATAACTGTTAGCACATGGACTTTGGCTTTTCGATTCTCATTTGAATTTTTCATGAAGAGTAACCCATCGTTTTTGTTAGCCATTACAATTCTCTTTCCCTGTTTGATTGTGATTCGGGCTCTGTTGTCTTCTGGCTCCTGTTCAAATCTATTGAAAGCTGTGGTTGTTCTAGGAGCAGGTAGATCGATTGGAAAGTCGTCAGAGATAGACTGTATGGGGGCTATGGGAGGATCATCGATTCCGTGTGGCTGCTGAAATAGGGCTTTGACTTTATCTCCAAATGCATCATACAGAACGTTCTTTAGATTGAAGTAGATAACTGTCACTGAACCAAGACTCATTTGTAGATCTTTAATCTGCTTTGACTTCTCCTCATCCTTTGCTCTGAGCACTTCAATATGAGAAGTGAGTTGATCCATCTGAATGGTCTTTTCAATGAGTTCTTGTCGTAGAACTCCGATTTCTTCTCGAAGTTCAGAGACAGAAGATTTGTCATCACCTGTGTGCTCCTCTCTAAATGATATTCCTTTGACACGAGAAAAGCTTGGACTGCGTTGAGCTAGGTGCTTTCCCAGTCTGATTGAAGCTTCATCCATTGAAGGTCTAGTAGGAGAATATTTGGGGATAGAGGATGAGCTTCCGGTCTCGAACATAGTGCTAGGGCCTTCATCAGTTTGTGTTGGTGGAGTGTAAGCAGTTGTAGCAGTGACAGTGGAGAAGACTTGAGGTGCACTGCTCACAATGGGTACCTCCAGACTCGCATTTGATTGACTTGATTCCATAGAGGATTGGGAGGTTTGAGGCTGAGTTGATTCAGGAACAGGCAGAGCAGATGTAGAGATAGTTGACACAGAGGGAGGAATCTCTGAGTTCACATCTCCTTGACTTGAAGCAACCTCCATGGGCTTGGATGTGGAGAGCAAAATTTTGAGAACATTTCCTTCTTCCCCAGTCTTGGTTGTCGAAGAAACAACTTCATTGACATTATTAAGGCAGCTGCTGGCAAATCCTGGAAGAGGACCAAATTCTTCATCATCAAGATCAAGGTCAATATTGGTAGGGGTATCATCATTGATCCCTGTGAAGTCAATTTCTTTGAAAAATTCTATATCTCCATAAAGATCTTCATCATCTTCCTCGTGAACAGATTCTGTTTCATCTTCCTTATGATGATCATGTTCCTCAGCCATTGTGGATGCAGGAGAATCATGAACCTCCTCAAATTCCCGTTTAGAGGATGAAAGTACAATGTCCTCAGATTCCATAGGGATGGGTTGATCTTCTGATTCTGACCGATCACTTTCTTCGAAAATTCCGAATTTGATCAAGGGAAACTTTCCTTCAAAAATGAATTTTCCACCTCTTTTCTATTTCATTAGCCCGAATGCACTTGGACCAACGGATTTAAGATCCAAAGTCTCATTTCCTCTCCACAGGTCGGGATGCATAACATTGAAGATGATCTACAAAAATCTTGGGTACATCAAAAACTTATCTCTCTTGTTCCCCTCAAGATTTAGAACCAGCTCATGCATTATAAACTTTGAGAAGTTGAACTCAATTCCTGCAGCCAAGGATGTGATGGCTCCTGTGTTGGCCAAGGAGATTTCATTTGCACCGAATTTCCTGCCAGAAATACAGCTCACAAACACATGAGCTAGATATTTCCAGCAAGGAGGGAGCAATTTCTTGATGGTAGGGGGAAAAGTTCCCTCATGCCCCATATGGTATAAAACATCATGGGTTTGATGAATGTTAATTTCCATGGATAATTATGATCTTTCATCGATTTGGAGTGATTCCCGAATGATATTCTCTAACAGTTGAACTTTCTTTCCTTCAATTGTAGCTTCAATGAATTTTTCATCCTTGTTATTCTTCTTCACAATTGCGCTTCTCCAGAAGTCTTTGATCAAGTTCTGGTAAATTACAGGGCAGGTTGTTAATGCATGCACCAGACAACACTTCTTCAGACCATCAACAATGAACTTTAAGTCATTATGAGCTGCAGGAGGATCTTCAAGAAAAATGGCTGAGTTGTGAACTTTAGCAAATTCCAGATCTCCCATTTTAATATGAAAAGAAACACAAGCAATCATTAGGGAAAAAATAATTTTAATCATACGTATTTCAACTGCTCATGATTGATCATGACAAAAATTGTGCAACCGCACATGAAAATAACACAGCCGCACACGTGTATGTGTGCAGCTGTACACAGATAAGTGTAGCCGTACACGCCGTGTGCGGTCGCACTTACAGTCGAAACACTTTTTCTTTCGATTAAACACTGAATGATGATTGATTTTGGATGAACAATGTGTTATGGGAGTCGCATTCATAAGAATTACCAGTGAGTAGCTTAGATTTCAAGAAATTTTGATATTTTAGAGAGAGAGAGAGAGAGAGAGAGAGAGAGAGAGAGAGAGAGAATCTGCCGTGTGCGGTTGAGAAGAAAAAAAAATGAGAACAGTCCCAGAGAACATTACACCGCACACACTCTATATATACTCAAAATAATTTTCATTTTCTCCTCCTCAACCTTTTAATAATTAAAACAAAACCCGAACTCAAGTTTTTCAAAAAAAAAAAAGCCATTTTGAGGATTTCAAAAAAAAAATTAAATTTATTATTCCTTAAGGATTAAAAAAAACTAAAATTAAAATAAAGACAAGAATTAAAAAATAAAAATAAAAATAAAATAAAAGGAAAATACTAATAACGAAAAAAATTAAATTTAGTTTTAATCCTCTAAATTGTTTAACCTTTTGAGATGTGGGATCAAAGTTGTTAGACAATCGTTTGTTCATTTATCAGTTCCTTCTCTTTCATGAATAGATCTGGCAATTGTCGGTATTGTGGTCCACTTAAACACGAAAAATTGTGACAAATTTTGGACATGCTATAAGTGACAAGACAAATTGATCCTATGTTCGTAGATAAAACTTCCTAAGGACCATTCATCTGACGATGACCAAGGATATTGCTGTCCACCTAAATTGAGCAGCGAGATCTACAGGCAATCTAGAATTGCTCAATTTTAGATGTACTAGAACGTGTTTCCCGCTTCCAGATATACCCCAATAATCAAAAACTTCCGAGGTACTCCTTACTTTAGTTGAGCGGACTATTATTCATAAAGAGGATAGATTCAAATTATTATTAATTATAGTTTTTAGAGGAATTGAGAAGTAGAAGGTTGCATATGTTGTGTACCAGGTCAGATTGCTAATCACACAAAGGAGACAGCATATGGCTAACAGATAAGAAGATTTTCATAGACATAATATTTAGAGAAATAGATTTGCATATGTTGCAGCCCAGGTCGGATCTATTCCAATCACGTAGAGGAGGAAACATATGACTAACAATAAGAAAGAAAGAAAATAATTTTCTACAGACCTACTTTATCGGAATTCCCTAGTCGCCCCGTCAATACCAGAATTAAGGACATAATCTGTACATCGAGGAAAAGTTAAACCACAGTTCTAGATACGGGTTTTCTTAATGTGACTGGTGGATTCTCATGTATATCTCTCTGCTCAACCTATCCGCGCGCCGTATTGTCAGGCTAAACGGAACTATCTAGGTTAAGATTTATCAAGTCTCTAGATTCCTTAAGTTCATCTGCTCCTAGTCGTGTCCGTTAAATTCTTCGTGCCTACCAGCACATCGAACACAGAGCCTAGACAATCCAGTTTTGGTACTTTACACAAACTCAGATTGCCCGTTATCACTTGTTAATATCACTTCCCATATCATATCTTAAAAAATAGATTAATTAATATTTTTTTTGTTTTTCTAATTTTCTGATGTTTTTGGATTTTCTAATTTTCTGATGTTTTTGGATTTTTGATTTTTCTCCCCCTAAATTTGTGCATGGAAGAAAACGGAAAAAAAATGCGCAAATTTAACCTAAACTAGACAAAAAAATGAATCCTCAAACCGAATCATTTTCAGAAAATTAACCAGCACATCGAATCGAGCTTTGTTAAATGACTTGGTGAATAGGTCCGCTACATTATTTTCAGAGTGGACCTGTTCTAGCCGAATGAGCGAGCGCTCATAACATTCTCGGATAAAATGAATTTTGATATCGATGTGCTTGGTTTTTGAGTGTTGGACCGGGTTTTTGGCAATTTGAATCGCAGCCTCATTATCACAGAAAATAGGGGTTTCTTGAAAATTCAAACCGTAGTCCAATAGCTGATGTTGGATCAAGATGATTTGAGAACAACATGAAGACGCAATGACATACTCCGCTTCTGCAGTTGAGGTGGAAACGGTATGCTGCTTCTTGAACTGCCATGAGAGCAATCTATCTCCTAGAAATTGACATCCTCCTGAAGTCGATTTTCTATCAAGCTCACTCCGCCATAGTTGCTGTCTGCAAAAGCATATAGGTCAAATTCTGGATTTTTCGGATACCATAGGCCCAATTTGGGGCAACCTTTGAGGTACTGAAAAATCCGTTTAACAGCAAGTAAATGAGAAAGTTTAGGATTAGCCTAGTAGCGAGCACATTGACAGACCGCAAACATTATGTCTGGGCGACTAGCAGTCAGATACATGAGTGAACCGATCATTGATCGATAGTGTGTCTGATCTACGGATTCACCTTCAAGATCAGGAGTCAGAAGAGGTCTCTCCACCATAGGTGTAAGAGTAGGTTTCACGTCTCGGAACCCGAACTTCTCCAGTACGCCATCCGCATAATTTGCTTGGTGAATAAGGATTCCAGTTGAAGGTTGTTGGACCTGAAGCCCCAAAAACATGGTCATTTCCCCAAGCGAACTCATCTCGAACCGCTTCTTCATCAATGCTTCGAACTCTTTGCAAAGTTGTTGGCATGTTGACCCAAAAATAATGTCGTCCACATAGATTTGAACAAGAGTTTGATCCGGACCAACATGTTTGATAAATAAGGTTTGATCAATGGTTCCTCTGGAGTAGTCGTGGTTGAGCAAATGCTGAGTTAGGGTAGCATACCAAGCTCTAGGAGCTTGATGAAGCCCATACAAAGCTTTGTCTAACTTGTAGACATGGTTGGGAAGCTTTGAATTAACGTAAATGGGTGGTTGGTCAACATAAATATCCTCCTTGACCTTTCCGTACAAGAAATCCGTCTTGACGTCCATTTGGTATACGGTGAAGTTCATATACGAAGCATATGCAAGGAAGATACGAATAGCTTCCAAGCGTGCTACCGGAGCGTAAACCTACGTATAATCAAGACCCTCAACTTGCCAAAACCCGCGAACCACTAATCTCGCCTTGTTATGAACTATTACACCCGAGTCGTCTTGCTTGTTTCGAAAGACCTATCTGGTGTCGAGAGATTTCATTTCTTTTGGCAGCTCCACTAACTTCCAAACCCCGAGCTTCTCGAATTGATTAAGTTGGTCATGCATGGCGTCAACCCAGCTGGGCTCATTCAGAGCCATTTCGAAAGATTTGGGCTTTATCTGAGAGATGAAACAAGAGTAGAGATATGTATTAACATCTCCACTCTGACTTCTTGTTTGAACACCATTGCCTAGTTGTCCAATGATGTTCTCTATTGGATGGTCGCGCTGAATGTGTGTAGGGATCTCGTAGCTGATATAATTGAAAGAGACTGGAAGATTATGGATGTTAACCGCTCCATCATTTGTTGTATGATCCACAGTAAATGAACAGGGTTCGTTTGGAGGATCTGCTACAAACTCTTCAGCAAAGCTTTCGGGAAAAAGAAGTTCCATCAGATTTGAAGTTACAGTGGAAGTCTCTTGGTTCATGAACTCTCTTTCCACTAGAGATAGAGGAGTAGCAACAGCATCAGGAGAAGGTCGTTGAGGAGAAGACTCAGAAGAATCAGTGTGAACAGAGGGCACCATTGGAGGAATATGAGACACCAGTGGTGGTCGGTAGAAAACTTCGCCTTCTTCATCTTCAAGAATGATCTTTAAATTTGACGTAGATCCTGCTTGATTATCTGAGGACACATTGAATGATTTGAAAAGAGATGTGTAGTCAAATAGCCAATCGGGACCCACTCTAGCATCTGTCTCATTTTCTTCAAGCCAACAAACATCGAAAGATTCTACAATTTGAGCAGCATATCCAACAAAGTAACAGTCATCGGCTTTTGCGTTGAATTTTGGGTTGGATTCCAAGTGGAGAAGTGTGAAAGGGCAGCCAAATACTCGAAAATGGCTAACAGATGACTTGTGTCGGTATAGAATTTCGGATGGTGTCTGCATTCTGGCTTTGTTGATCAGCACGC